AGAAAAAGCTAATAGGCTTCCAATCTTTTACTTGATCGATCGGTTGGTTTTGTCGAAATTTTCAGAATCGGGGTCTTCTTGCAAGAGGATTCCTCCTACAGCGAGTTCTGAGGCGTCAACCGAGATCTTCTTTCTCAGATCAGGGTCGAAGTGCACTAACATTGTTGTTTCAATGAGTGAATTTTTCAGAATGTCTAAAGTCTTTTTATCCTCGCTGGTCATGCAAAATTTTCTTTCTCTAGAGATGAGGCGATACAGTGGGGCAGCCAATCTTGAGTAATTGGGAATGTATCTAGAGAAATAATTGAAACAACCAAGAATGGATTGTAACTCTCGTACATTTTTCGGGTACGGCAACAGCTTGAGGGCAGTGACTTTTGAGGGTCTGGTTTGATACCTTTACCATTTACTACATGTCCTAGTAGTAAGATTTCTTCGTAACCAAAGTTGCATTTTTCGATCTTGCATTTAAGGTTAAATTGACGGAAACGGGTTAATACCATTTCGGTGTTGGTGAGAAGCTCGTGCCAAGTTTTTCCAAAGACAGGCACATCGTCGAAATAACCGAGGGCTTCTTTATATTGAAGATCTCCCAGAACTTTACTCATTAGGTTCTGAAAGATAAAAGGGGCTCCAGATAAGCCCATAGGCAACCTTTTATAATGGTACTTCCTATCGGGTGTTACAAACACGGTTTTGGATCTCTCTTCTAAAGGCAATTCTATTTGGTGATAGCCTTGGTAAAGATCGAACATATTAAAATATCGGGTACCACGAACTGATTCAAAACAGTCTTCGATGCGGGGCATTGGCATTCTGGGTACTCTAGTAATTCGATTTAACATTCGGAAATCGGTAACTAGTCGATGAGTTCCATCACTTCTGGGAACTAATAATGCTGGGCTTCCTCCATCGGCGTCAGACTCTTCCACAATATCTGCGTCTATTAAGCTTTGAATTGTTTTCGAAAAAGCTTCCCGTTTATCCTTACTGCAAGGATAGGGTTTCTGATAGGGTATTGGATTGTCACCAATATCTATAGATACAGGGCAGATTGATGAGGGTACAAATCCCAAGTCGAGGCGATGTTGTGAGAAAACATCCTGGAAACTAACCAAGAGGTTTATTAGTTCCTCTTGTTGAGTTAGAGAGAGCTCAGGATTGATACGGGCTTTAATTCTTTCCACAAAGGGTTTTTCTGTCTCCGGTGGGACAGGGACAACGTTAGCCATTAGCATTTTAACTTTTTCATCCATGATTTCCATTTTCATCACGGGAATGAGTTTTGGTTCATCTTCAGTTGAAGGCAATTTGGCTATAGCAGTATCAGGAAATTCATTGATAATAGCCAAGGGGTTTAGTTGAGAAGGTGATAGCCGAGTTGATGAATTAAGAATATACCTCGTTTCTCCACTTCTACAGAAACGAAAGTTGAACTCGGGATCGAGTAATTCACCTTTAGGGTCTTTTCGAGCATAGACCTCGTATTTTTCTCCGGTTGATTCCAAGATCATGTAGAAGAGGTGGAGAAAAACATTACCAATTAGGCAGACAGGGTCAAAATCTTTAATGATTTGCACTTTAATGAGTCGAGGTTCATCCATTTTTCGGTGTTTTACTACAGCGTAAGCGAAGCCAATAGTATCCAATGAATGTCGAGCATTAATACCAACTACTTGTTGACTATAGTTGATCACATCAGCACCCAATATTTTTGCAATTTTTTCGTCGATTGCAGTAATTGAAGCACCGGTATCTAGTAATACATTAGTACTTTGAACGAACGTTCGATCGGGTTGATCGAAGTTAATTTTGACTAGAGGTAAATGTTTTACTCTAGTATGTCCCAGGTTAGTTAACAAGGGAAGAGGGGTCATGAGGTAACCGAAGGAATTTCTTAAACCTTCAGGGGTATTAGCTAAATTTATCGTCTCACCCTCTTGAAGCTGAGTAGTTAAAATTTTCTTCTCAGTGGTTGGAGCTTTGTCCTGGTGTGGTGATGATTCATCACGGGCTTTCTTTCGGCAATATTGTTCATCGTGTCCATAGATTTTACAATAGTTACACTTAGCCTTTTGACGCACATTTGGGTTATTGCGTTGATCAGAGTTAGAATTACTAACTGGTTTAGACACTTCTTTTTCACGAGTATTGGGCTTTCCTCTAGGCTTATCTTTTCGTTTGCTAGATTCGGCGTTTAAATGTTCAAAATGGAACCGATTCAAGGTATCGGTTATATCCGGAAGATTTTTATGAGCACCACGGGCGTAAATTTCGTCTCGGATGTATTTGGGAATGTGAGAAAGGATATCATATAAGAAGGCTTTTTCGGTCACATTTCCTTTAACTTTTCTTATTTGTTCACGTAATTTGTTCACAAACGTAGCGGGCACATCTTCAGGCGAGTACCGTATGTTTCTAAGAACATAATGATCTTTTGATCGATAGGCTGGTCCATCTAAAATTTCCAATAGGCTTGTGGTGTAGACTTCGTAATCGGTAACTTGAGGATCAATTTGTCCAGCGAGATGAAGCAGTTCATGAGCTAGTCCTTTGCGGAAGCATCGGAGCCTTGTCTCATCATCACATTTTTCGTTAGCCAGTTTTTGCTTAGTCTTTAGACACCAAGCTTCCATGTCCTCTCCTCTCTGAAATTCAGGAACTATCGGATCGGGTTTAAAAGCTTTAGCGGTTTCTCGAGTTGCTTCTTGCATTGAGCGACACATTTGACTCATTGTTTCTAGGAGAATTTGTTCTCTTGAATGGCAAGATGTATTAGACTCGGAATGATGAACAGCACGTTGATTTCCAATAGGAACTTCGGAGATTTCCACATCGTCCTCTCCGGTACTGAAACTAGGGGCCATTGGTTCAGTTTCAGCATTTTCGGCCTTGTATTCGGCTATAGCTTGTTTTAAAATTCGCAAGCTTACTTGAGAGACTGGAAGTGCTTTCAAGTCTTCGTCGCTTGAGTCCACGACGGTTTCAATCTCATGTCCAAGCTGAGAGAGAAATATTTGAATGTCGGATTCAGGTATTCTTTTTTCTCTGAGTTCCTTCACCCAATTGGGAATCTCTTGAGATTCAATTTCCTGGAGGGTAAGCTGAAGAATCTCTTCATCGGATAATTTTAGTCCGAGAAGGATTAAATTCGTCCTAGTGGCATCAATTAACTTTCTTTTAGCTAATGATCTCATAGGGATAAGCAGCTCCCAATTTCGCAGGACTGCAATGATCTGATCATTGGTCAGTTCACTTAATGTGGTTTCTGCCATTCTAAAGTTCAACTAGACACTTTGGACAATAGTCACCTTGATGAATCCTGCCTGGGTCGCCAGATGAAAGGTTTTGATAGGAAAATGTTTGATTGGTGAAGAGGGAAATTCTGATCACTAGACTTCAATAGAAGTGGGGAAGAGTTAGCACCGAGTAGATTCAGTTGCTAACTATAGTTACAGAAGATCGCACGACTTGCCTTTCAACTTTCAAGTCAATAGAGTTCGTTTCAGGATTCAACAAAGAAACAATTATCACTTGAATTATAATTAAACTTTATTGAGAGATAGCACTTTTTGGAAACACTAAGAAAATCAACTTTTTTCTTTGAACATTAAAAGAGAACTGATTCAATTTTTTTAACAACTGAATTTTTAGTCTTAGAAGACAAAAGATTAACATAAGATAATTAATGGGATGATAAAAATGAAAAGACATTAAGTCTAGAGACGATAACTCTTAATCTTAACAAGAAGAGTTATAAAGCCTAATGAAGGGGGAAAGGACTTAATAGAGTTAAACTAATAAGTCAGTAAAAGAGAATAGAACAAAATTTTAAAAGAGAAAAGAATAAAAAAGATAAAGAAAGCTGTTGCTTTCTCTAAAGAGAATGATTAATAATCTCAGCTTAATCAAGCTTAAGATTAATTTAGAGCAATTAAACTCTAGATAATCACAGTTAATCAAAGGTTAATTGTTTTGATTAAACTAATGATTATAATCAAATGATGATAAACAAAATTAAACAATTAAAGATAAATTTGGGGGTTAAATATGGTTTCCTTGCTTCTCAAAAATGAATTGGGAAAAGGTCAAAGAAGACTTGATTAGGTCATTTCTCTACCTTTCATTAATATAATATATTCCTTATGTTCACATGCTTTTTTATTCCTTATTTTTTTCCTGCAAAAAGAGCTCTCAATAAAACTTTAATATCGAATATGCTATCAATTCATTCGAAATATATTACAACCCTGATTATTTTCCTTATTCTTATCACCAGAATTTGATAAATTCATATTCAAAGGAATACATTGAAAAGTAAAGAATGATAAGAATCTGGTTCATTTGGTTCCTTATTAATGTCGTTTTTATTTTCATCTATCATTGAGAGCTCCCGAATTCCGGTAAATTCAATATACTTACTAGGACAATGAACTTGGTAACTTAACCGGAAAATTGACCTTGAAATTGGAGCTCTCTAATGCTTATATTATATTCATCATTATGTGAATAAATTTACAATGAGATTAACATGAGGTTAACTCGAGGGGATAAGTAAGTAACATCTCTTATTCAGGATATTCATAAAAGCTCATTGATGAACAGGAAGTGTAACAGTGAGAGCTCAGAGTTTCTTATTCTAAATCAGAATGATCCATGATTAAGAAGAAAGAAAAACTCCCAAATAAATAAGAATAACAAGAAGAAGAGAGCGAGAAGAAAAGTAAAAGAACAAAAATAAAAGAAAAAAAAAGAGATCCACAGAGAATGACATTATCGATTATGCCTAAGGGATAAAGAAAAAGCAAAAGAACGAAAAGAAAATTCTATCTTTTTTGTTCATATCTCTTCTTGGAGGAAATAAAAAAGAAAGATAATTTCATTCTCAACAGAATCATTTCTCACCATATCTCATCTTCATTATCATCTAGTTGAACTTTCATGATCTTATACCTAGAATCATCATGAAACATCATGTGCTATCATCCATGATTACTCACCGTTCTGTCTCCCAGATGATTTATTTTACATTGTAAAAATGCTGTTCCTCCCTGTGGTATTGTTATATTACGTTTAATATTATCATCAAAAGATGGATCATGTGTGGTTAATTTGTGGTATCCTGAAGGATCATATGAAGAAGATGATGATGACGATGAAGATGAAGATTTGTCTATTATCATTTCATCTAGATTATGATCATAGTGATCATGTTGATTATTGTCGGTAAAAGATTGAACTTGATAATGTTTTAATTTCCTATTAAGATGATGATATTCATTTGAATTTTGTACATTATAATAATAACCATTTACATTACTTTTATATTGATAACCATCTGATGTTTGATGGTCATTTTTACGTTTATGATAATTATAATTTTTCCTTAAGTAATGGTCACTAGTTACTTTTTTCGGTAAAAAATTTTTCCTTTGTTTAACTGTTTTATTTACATTATCACTTAATTTTATTCCGTTTAGATTTGAATTTACTTTTAATCGACTTGATGACCATGACGTCGATTTGGTGGACTTGGATCTTTGTGTTTTTATCGTTGTCATTGGCGATGATAATTTGAAATCTATGGAGATTTGAGAATGGAGAGAGACAAAATTATTCATTAGAGTTTGATGAAAGTTCTGAAGATAATGAGAAACTTTCTGGTGAAATATTAGATTAGGAAATTTTATTTATGGTGAATATATATGATGGATGAAATGTTGGTATCGTAGAGATGAGGATGAAAAAGAAGAAAATTGAATTGAAATTTGTGAGAAAGAAAATACTTTTTTTCCCATAGTTATTTATAACTGAATATTCACAAAAAGATTTCAGGGTAATATTCAAAAAATTTCAGAATCATTTCATTGGAACAGATTAAACTACAAGATAGGAATTTTTTTCTCCCTTCTTTCTTTTTTTATCCATGATATTCAATAAACTTTTTTCTTCTTCTTCTTTAGTACAATTTTTTCCCATGTAAATTGTTCGCTCTTTTTTAGCTTCAAGGCCTATGATAGTTTCTTCATGATGATCATTATCATTATCTTCATCCTTTTGTCATCACATGGTGTTAATGCCATGACACGAAATATTTACCATCAACTTAGATAATATAACAAAGTATAACTAGATGAAGAGCAAAGAGGATTACATTCAGTATTCTTGTGAAATTATTCTTAAAGTGATCGAGAGAGAGAGAGAACTGGATCATCTTGAAAGAATAAATTTTTCAAAAGAATATTTTTCTTGGTAGAAATTTTTTCATTCTTTATCGACTCAAATATATATCTCTCTCTGTGTCCTAGTATAAGAATCAACTTTTGGTCAGTCCATTAAATGTCCACATCTATGGACTGGAATCCCATGTATTTCTACCGATGTCAACTAACTAATTTTTATCATTTATCATATCTGAATCATGGCATTTAGTATTCACATTCAGCTTGGAAATGAGCAACTTAAGAGCAATTAACATGAAGATAATGATGATAACTAGATTTCTTCTTTAATGAGGAGTAAAGAAAAAAGCAAAATAATAATAATGATAAAACTGCCTAATTCATATTCTTTAGTATCCCAATAACAATCATCAACATCATACCCATCTGATGGTCTATTTAGATGAATGAATATATCACTTGTATTAGTGGGTATTCATAACACTGTATATTAAAATGACGACTCCATAGATACAATAAACAGTATCTTGAACAATATCTTATGGCAGTGAACATATAAGATTGTGAATTGTGAGTAGCATTTTTATTATCTCATGGTGACATTTTACTCTGACAGCGTAACATTGTTTTCACATGTTATATATATAAATGTAGTATTTGGAGTTCAAGCATATTGAGAAAAAGAGACAATTGTGTCATCATCATCATCAGGACAATAACAAACATTTTCCTTAGAAAAAAAAGGAAAATATTATTCCAAATGTTTATATCATGATAAATGCTGTCAATTGATATTAACATGATAGTAGATAATGATGATAATAATGAATACCCTCCCATGCATAATGTCAAACTCAACAACTGAATGATAATCAATAAACTTCATCAGATTAAAAATATTAAGCCTTAGTTAATTGGAAGATAATTTTTACAATCAACTCTAAAACTTATTTGTTGCTTCAAAGTAAGCTGGAGTATATGAAAGGGGTATTCATCTCGAAAGAGAGAGAGAGAGAGAGAGAGAGAGAGAGAGATCATCTCCCTCTCTCATTTAGTTTTCATGTATAATTAATCATCAAGTGTATTATTTTCATTAGCTCATCATGAAAATCCGGAAACAAAAGTTTTAATCTTATTTAACTAATTGGAAGCTATTTGATAAAACTTTGTATTCATAATCAAAGTTAAATGTTACAGAAAATGCTTACAGTCAAAATAGAGCATCATGATCTTGATGATGTTGATTAAATAAATGTTACAACTTAATTATTATGATTGAGATGAAATTAAAAGTTAGATAATTTTTTTGATGCATTACTAAAATGCTAAATCAGCTACTAGACTGATGAAATTGTCTGTTTGTTTTTTTTAATTTGATTAATAACTATCAAGAATTCACATTTAGCTCATCTAATAATCATTTATTATGTAATTATACTGATTTGATATTAAACAAATATCAAATTAATACCCATTTGAATACTTTGATATATATATGTACATTCTGGTTGGATAATTGTCAGAATGGAAATGTTAATTATCAGTATCAAATTAATATAATTTCTCAGAATTGTAATACACATAATGATGGTAATGAGATGAAACATTTCAAATTGATTAAATGGTCATCAGTGGTTTAATGTACTGTGTATTCATCATCAGATATATATAAACATGATAATGTATTAATCAGATAAAATGTTTTCATCATTACGATATTAACCAACATTCATATGAATAAAAATATCAAATGTAATATGATAAAGTTAATTGATATCATTTGGATAAATATGAGATACACAATATATATTGTAAATAATTTGATTTGTTACATGAGAGATGAACTTTTAGTTCATAGATATATCATAACATTCACTTTGTAAGATATATGATTGACTGTAAAAACTTTTTCTACCAACTGGATATTCAGTTTAGTTCATTTGAAAGAGAAAAATAGTAAATCTGAAATTCTGCCAACCATAGAGATCAATTCATTAGGAAAAAATTCCAATAATATTCTGGGTTCATCCATCTACTATTAGAGTCTATGGTGAATGTTACAATGTTTCTGTTGTAATTAAAACAATTATTGCTGATTAGCAAAGATAAATATAACTAGTACCATGTGAATGTCTCTTTTTTTGCTAACAAGGTATTTCTGTTTGTTTGCCTGTAGATTTATCCTGATAATATGTCAGGAAAATATCGTCAATGCTAAGGTTCTGATGAGAAAATGTCACACAAAAAGAGAGAGAGAAAAAAAATATAAACGGAAATTCAGAATTTGTGACCTGAATTAAATATCATGTAACATTATTTTCTTTCGACATTTATCTGTCTATTTTTTTCGTCGAATGTTCTACTTAACATTCTTACATGTATATTCTTGTTGTGAAGAGAGAAAAAAAGAAAAATTCTCCCCTGTTACGATCTTATCTTTCTCAAATCATCATTAGATCATTTTATCCTTTTTGTCTTCAATGGAGAGAGTGAGAGAGCAGGAGAGAAAATAAAAACAAGATGAAGATGCTCGGGAAGAAAAATAAGAAATAACTTTATCTTGATAATATTTCAAATCATATGACAAATATTTTCTTCATCATCTTAATCATATTTTTCTTTCTCTCTTCTTCAATTCAATAAGAATACGAATACAAATATTATTACATCTATTTTGATATATTATCATTCCCAGTGAGTAGAGTATTGTGATTTTCTCCCCTCGCTTCTCTCAGTGAGATTAAATTGTCACCTCATCAAGAATGATATTTGTCATTCATTCAGTCATCTTATTATCATTATCATCATCGAAAGCATATTATGTCATCTTCATTATTTTTTGTCATCATTGTCAGTTGATTCAATATTATATGTTTTGATCAATTGAATGATCAGAATAAAATATTGAACCGTTAACAATAACATGTTAATAGATGAGATAGTCAATGATCATGAATCAAGATGATAAAACTGATAAACTGATAACAATTTTTCATCTTTTCATCTAATATCATAAAGCTATTTAATTTCTATTGATAATCTCTTTCTCTCTCTCTCTCTCTCTCTCTCTCTCTCTCTCTAATCATCCTTCTCATTTCCGGTTCCTTACTTTGTATAACCATAAGAATGATTGACATTTATAAATAATATCAATGTTTAGCTAAATGTATTCATTGAATATCATCGTCAGTTTTTTTTAATTTAAACTGGATTATCATTCAATTGACCAATTATATCAAACAATTAATGAGCAAACCGGAAACTGTTACTCCTACTGTTACGTCTAGACCTTATTCAATGTTTACTTTAACAATGATTGATGCTTGATAACTTATTTTATATTTACATTTTGCTAAGATTATCATTATGTATACACAATAAACTTAATTGATTAGTTAATTAAGAGTGATCAAGTTAACCATTGAAGGTAAACACTTTGCAATGTTCACCAATTAACTTAATCTAACCCAATCTAATCTATTATCTGATGATAAATATTATTAAGCAATATGTTAAATATAATATTCATCATCGTTGATTGTGAAAGGTTTTCGTTTGGTTTCTTATCTTTAGATAAGGTTGAAAGTTGAAGCTTTATCACTTAGATCGATTTGTTTCACTATTCTGTGAATGATTAGGTTTCAAGACCTTTGAGTATTTCACTCTGATTGTAAACTTTTACAATTTTAATTGTTTCGAATCTTAATTGATTGCTACCTGCCTTTCAATAATCAGGTAATTAAGGTTCGCATACAGGACCATGCACACTGTGAACAAAGTAACTTGAGTTAACAAAGGAAAAGAGTAGAGAAATTCAACTAACTGAACTTTATTAAAATTTACTCATGATAACTTGATGTTATTCTGTTGAGAGTAGACAGTTAACTTACTGTTACTCGTTACAAGTAATTAAAATAAAACTTAAGTTTTTGATTTTTCTAGAACAATTGGGGGAAAAAGAAATTAAAATGATCGCATTGGTCAAACAATGATGATGATAAGTCTCAAGGCTTAACAAAGCGCTTTTAGCTTAATAATGCGATTAAAGATAAGGTGAGATAATTGGGTTAATCAAATGATAAATTGGGTTTAAACAATGATAAGAAAGAAAGACAAATTTTGGTCTCTTTCTAAAGTGATCAAAATTTAACAAAATTAAATTGGGGATTAACATAATGAAAATTTGAGTAATTTGAGTTACAAAGAAAAGTAATTAAGAATAATTGAAATCTAAGTTTCATGATTACTGAGTTTTGATTATATGGTTGAGATTAAAATGAATAAAGTAGAAAGTAAAAGATAAGCGATAAATGATAAATGATAAATGATAAACCTAAAGGTTTTAAATGTTAATTGAATTCTTTATTCTGAGTCGAATAAGAATTAGTTTTGGTGGGTC